GCTTCAACAATAATCTTTTTGATAAAAACATGCCTAGAAGCGTTTCAAAAAATTTCTTCAAAGAAGGGAAAGGGAGGAGGAAGGGGATGGAGAGAAAGGGTACACATTTCTAGTTAAAATTTTTACTATTTTTGCTTCATCCATTTCCCACTGTCAAATGTCCCATACAAGTTCTCGTCTTCGCGCAAAGCCGAAAAAAAAATTATTTGTGCGGTACTTTTTGGCTTCGTCCTGGCCAAGACGTGTGACGGAAATCCATATCAGGAGGCTAAAATGTTTGCGCATGCCCATGTTACAGCGTCAATATTTATCTTCAAACATTTCCATGCCTCCCCTAGGCCTTCACATATCTCATTACGATTGCTACCGAAATGGTCGACTATTCTAGTGCTGCTGCTCTTTTTGACATTTTCTGGATAAAATCGTGCTGAAAGTTTGTTTTTGGACGACTTTTATGACGTGGAGACCTTTGGTCTTCATAAAACAGCTGGAGGCCAAACCACTAATCTATTGACCTTCCATAATTCGCCTTCTTATTTATCATTTCATATTTCCCATTAGATAAATGTTTTCATTCATTTAGGCAACAATGGGAAACGCAAAAGAGACAACTGGAATCGAAGCTGCCGGTGGACGTACAGTTGTTAATGGCTCAGAAGCGCGAGTTAACGATGCAATTGGATAGAGAACAAAACGAGAAGCATGAACTCTTCCTACAGGTACGATACATGCATCTACTGGACGTTATTGTGCGAAATCACTGAAGAGCTCTCATTGATTTATAACTTTTAGTTACAGCAAAGTTACAAACTTCTTCCCTTCACTGTGAACATAAAATTTTCTCAAAGTTACAAACTTTTCAGCGTCAAAGAAGATCTGGTGGATGTTTTAATCCACAGAGCTTTTTTTACCTGTTTTAAGATGCAAAAATCAGAGCGTACTAGTGTGAATGCCATCACCTACATAGAACTCGTTTCTCTGCTGATAAGGGTTTTTTTCTCAGATTGGCTTCAGTAAATGAAAGAATTCGTCTTCCTTTCTTCATTCTTTATCGGTTTCAACCTTCACTTTTCTTAGGTTTATGGTAATTATATGTGCTCTCAAAATTATCCTAGAATAACTTGATCGTCCTTACTCACTTTATGTCTTTTTACAATTAAAAAGTATTGCTACTCCGTATCTTCGAATTCTTATCCTAATAAGTTAGAATATAAAATCCTATTGCTATAGATCCCCTAACCAGTAAATTTTGTGGTTATCCAATATTTCATTTGAGAGTGAGGGATAGCATTACCCTTGCGTCCTATCCAATCAATTATTCCAAGTACATTCTAGGACTCACGGACATATTGTGTTACAAGGCATAATATCACATGAACATTTGTGGACATTTCTTAGCAGAAATAAAAAATGAGAATCGCTTGAGAAAAAATGCTAATCATAATTTTTTTGGATGTCATCTTTCCTGATACATAGATTTTTCTCCAGGACTATTGCATTTTTGTCAGTTTACCGTAAGGAAATCTTTTAATTGATCCCTAACAGTTGAACAATTCAGAAAAAAATTACACATTGGAAATATTTGTATATCGTTTTTTATTTGTATATCCTTCTGTTTGAACGTAATTCAAGAGTTGCTGCAAGCCGAGAGAAGCTTCTTTATTGAACTCAAATGTTATTCTACTTACCAAGTCACTTGAGAAGTCTTTGATAAAAAGACCGCATTGGGCTAACCTTGAAATTGTTCTCAAAACAAAAAGGGGAATAGTCATCCTTACTAGTCCCATTTTCTAGTTCATATATTCTTTCCAGATCAATTCAATGATAGCTCAACTAGCAGATACACAGCCACCTGGAGAAGTAGAGAAGCTGAAATCCGACAATAAAGAGCTTCAACGAAGAGTAGAAGAACTTGAAGTAAGGAAAATTACCTGATTTTCCAAGGTAGTATAGTTCTAATTCCGTGCAATCTTAGAGCTCCTCAGCCAAAGAAAGCAATCGT